GAAATTAATTTCAATCCAATATTTATCACATAGCCAAACCAAATAATTAAACTATAGATTCCGTCTTAATAATTCATCATTTGTAATGTTTCCATTAATTTTCACATTCCCAAACCTAATTCGCACTTTAATCCTTATTTCAACAATTATTTTTGTTCCAAATAACTAATCTAAACGTTCCCATCATGTTTAGCCGCCTTCAGATTATAAAATCGTTTCTTCTCACGATTGTATTCCTTATCATGTGAATTATCATTTTTTTTTTTTTTGGTGAATCATATCCTTCCTTATCCTTGCATGGGAATTCCGTTCATTGTAAGCTCCTTCTTACAAATACCTGGGATATAAAAGGACCGGATTGGAGGTGGTGGAAAGTCAATCTGATCAACAAGCAATCAATCAAGGAGTTTGGCGACCAACAAACCAAGCAATCGACCAATTTACCAGTTTATCAACCGAGCGGTTCGGTTACCAATCTACCAACTAATCAATCTATCAACCGAAGAGTCTGGCGACCAACAAACCAAGCAATCAACCAACAAACCAATCACCCAACAAACTAATCAATTCAAACCAATCCAATTCCAAGTTCACAACAAAAATTTTTTCAATTTTTATTATCTTCTAGAATTATATTACCTGCGGTGAAGAACATGGTCGTACATCGATAGGTATTTCGGTAGAATTTTCATTCAAACATTTCTCCAATGGATATGCTCGACCATTAATATCTTCACATGTTACATTTCTGCTTTCTACCGTATCATTACATTTTTCACACTAAATGTAATTTTATATATTTTAATAATTTTGCAAAAAAAAAAAACCAAAATATTTTGCATTTCAACACTTTTGCAAAAAAAATTGGAATAAATGAATAACAAAGAAAAAATGAGGTAAAATATTTTATGATAATTTGATTATTTGAAAAAAAGGAAACAATTTATTATATGAATTTCTGCAATGCAAAAATAGTTTGAATTATTTTAACTAATTTGTATTTTCAAATGTTTTGGTTTTTTGACAACT